GTTTTCTAAGAGGAACTTAATTTGAATAGCGGTTCCTGATGTAGAGAACAAAAAATAAAAATGTAAGCCAAATATTTGTTAGTTTTTAATGATGTGTTCTAGTATTACGATGATGATGTTCTCTCTTTTGCTGATTGTTTTTCTGGATAACAAGAAGTCAGTTGCAGTAGAATTTTGAATTGGTATGGAGATTTTCTTTTTTTAGACATTAAAAAAAACCCCACAATTTAAATATCATAACTTAAACGGTATCCTGGGCTAACATGGTGAGACTGTACATTATACTTCTCTTATATATGTGCATTATGGAAAAATCTATGCCATGAAGTAATACAGAGGTTATTTGATCATTTTAAAAGCAATTTTTTGAAAATACAACACCAATGCCCCTCTCCTGGAATAAATCCCAACAAGAATTTTGCTGGATTTGCCTCACCACTTTTCAGTATGAAAATAGCAATTCAGCAATTACTTCCAAAGGAATTAGAAATATTCTCTCTCTGCCTGCCATCTCTTCAGTATTTCTTGATTTTTTGTAATTTTTTTCAGAACTTTAAACACAATATGAAATTATCTTATACAAGTATTTGTTGGGGTGAGGACTGCTCAGTGCACAAGTGTTGAGAGCAGGAGAAAAATAATTGTTTTCCTTCTGCGGATCACAAAAGAGAGCTGCTACTTTTTGCCAACATGATTATGAAGAGATGGACATGATTGTAGGTAGAGAAGATAGCAGTTAGTGGATGGAGGGAAAAAGTTCACAGGCTTTCAGACAACCAGGAATTCTTTCATGCCTGGATTAGGTGATGTACCATAAATCAGTTTAACCCCCCTGCTCTCATAATAAATTCTTACATATTCTCCCTCTTCTAAACAAAACTTTCTTCAGTCTGCAGTCTCGCCATGTTAGTCCAGGATACCCTATTCAGCCATATCTCACATGCTGCCTTTCTTTCTTTCATTCAAAAAATAATCATACAGTCTCTTATTAAGATGGACTGTATTCTCCATGTACCATCTACCTTCCTGAGATTATTACATTTAGAAGCCATTGTTTTTATCTTCTTTTTGGCTTTCAAGTTTTCTATTTCCAGTCTGAAGAAAAGGAGTTAACAATTTGTTGTATGTGCTCATTTCCTTGTTTTCACTCAAACTTGATCCTATTTCCTTCTTCTTTTTTTTTAATTTCTCTCTATAGTAAACCCTTTTCTCTCTTAGTTTTCCTCTTCCCTTTTTGGAATGTCCTTGCTTTTACTCCTGTATTAAATGGTTTAACATATTGTCTACAAACCTTATCTTGCATCATCCTTAAATCACCACAGCTACAAAACCAATAGAACAATATTTTATTGAATTTTATTTAAAAATAGAACTGCATGCTTGTGTTGTTCAGTGTTATTCTTATGATGTATTATGAATTTTGTTCCGTATAAGTTATGCTTATAAGTTATGAGGTAATATCTTTCATAAAATATAGACTTTGAGTCTTGGTCTACAGGCATTCAGGTCGTTCTGGTTTTCAATTGGTGTTTCTCACCAGCGGTTCGTTCTCGGGAACAGAAGCAATAGAATAAAATCTGTTTGTACATAGGTCGTTCCAGTTCCGTATGTTTTACTACAGACCAGCATTTTATACAGAAGCTTATATATTACATTATTTTTATGTGAACTTTTGGTAACACTTTTGAAATATTTCCCAGTCAGGGCCCAAAGAGTTCAGTAGTTTCTTTTTTTATGTGTGTGTAAATAACAGAAAATACTAATTTTACATTTTAGTCCTGAATATTTTTGTGAAACTTGTAAATTTCACAAATATCCTCATTTGCCATTTGTACCTCTCACCAATTCTTCATTTCTTATTTTTGCTCTATGAAGGCTTTATTCTAATTTTTCCTCTGAAAGCTTTTATATGCCAAACTTATTTTGCTATACTAGCAGATAAGTCAGTTTTAATAGTAATATTCTTGGTTTTGTTAAACAGCCTGACAGTAAACATACAGCGGAAAGCTCAATCTTCATTGTACTCACTGTGATCATTAAGAAAAGTTCTACTTCAAACCTGCAGTATTGCAGCCTAGAGTTGGCCAGCACAATGTTTGCATTCTGAGGAACAAGTGCTACTGTAGAAATTCAATCTGCCGTGCATAAAATAAATTGTTGTCTTTTGAGAGCTCTTAACTTGTAGGAAGAGCTCCTCTTGTCTGACCAAGAGTAGGACAGCACTCAATAATCTTGTGCAGCGTTTTGTCACATTGAGTGTTTTGAAATTTGTATGCTTTTTTTCATTAAAAATTGATCATATTGCCTTCCTTTTTAACTCCTTTCGATAGTAAACACTTTCGTCTCCATTTCTCTTCCTCTTCCTGTTTTTGAATATTTGTAGCAGGATCATTTTTGCCTCATAGTGATTAAGAGTTTGAGGATGACTTATGCTGTGTAGACGTGGCGCTGAGGGACATGGTTTAGTGGTGGACTTGGCAGTGTTAGGTTTATGGTTGGACTTGATGATCTTAAGGGTCTTTTCCAACCTAAATGATTCTATGATTCTGTGCAGTTTAATACTTTGACTCTTAAAGTAAGTCTGGTTAATATGCATAAATTGATGCTGCCTTTGTTAATCTTGAGAGAATTGCTGTTTGCAAGCAGTGCCTTTAATAAGTCTGTGCTGCAGTGGAACCTCATGATACTTTAAAAATGGCTGCAAGAGAGCAAACAGCTAAATAATCTACAAGGCTGAAAAAGGAGGTGGTAACTACCACCAACTGCTGTGAATATATTGTCTGATTTCCTACTGTCTATACTACTATTTTATATATACTGAATACTGTGGACTGATTTTATATATTCAAAGTTATTTTTGCATATTTTTAAAGATTCAGAATAAAAGCATAAAAGTTTTAAGAAAGGAATAGTTACTTCTGTATCCTACCTGATGCCTGGTTTTCTTCCTGAGCATGGTGGAGTGGTTTAACTAGTGATCTACTGTAACTGTCTTTAAATGTTGTTATGCTAAAATCCCTGGAGCAGTTTGGCTAGGCTTTGTTTCAGAATTTCTTTGTCCACACAAAGGGTGAAATTTCAGGTTACTATAACATAAAGATTTGTGGGAAAAGCCTCCATATAGAAACCTATGTAAAATGCCAAATTTCTACTATTAGCAACTTGTCTGTAGATGTGTGGTTTTGTCATCTTTGCTCAGCATGTTTATTTAATAACGACACTGCTGTTGAGTTGTGTGGTGATAACGTACAGGAGTTGTCCAAATGGGAATTTACATGTACATGTTATATGTGTATGAATTTGTGTTTAGTTACTGTGTGCATAGTTGCTAATACAGACTGTGTCCTGTTAGAAAACTTCTATGAAAGCATACAAGAAGTCCTTCTCAATAAGGAGGTGATGTAGTGTAACTGGCTAACCTCACAAGAACTGGCTAGGTCAGTGTTTCAGTTTCCTCAAATCCACAAGCCTTTAACAGACCTGTTTAATGCTGGATGTACCCCATGGGATTAGGGAAATCACATGGGGAAGTGAATACCATACAAGATACTTTAAATTATTGAGAGCTTTGGGTTATCAAAGTGGTTATTCCTATAGACCCCTTAGAAGGGTGAGGGGGGAGATCCCAGGGTAGAAAAGCTGATTGTTTACTTGCATGAATACTGGGGGAATTCGTCATCTTGAAAAGTTTCTTGAAAATACTTTGTTCCCTGTGGTGCTTCATCACTTTCTCTTGCAAAATTGCTGTGCATCTGTCTCCTTTCTCAAACTCGGCTACTAAAAATTCCTTACTGAACTTGCTATTGTTGTACCTTGTTTTGTGGGAAATCTTGGTTCTTTGGGCAGTGTTACGTGCCCTTACTGAGGTTCTTGTCTAACCAGTTCAGATACCGCCAGAATTAAAACTGCATTGTAAAAGTAGACCAGTTGACAATGTTATTTGTGAATTCACATAAATATATGTGTACCAGGAATAGTTAGTTAATTTGCTATGCAGTTTGGCATTTCAGATAACAACATGGCATTTGGCTTTGAACTCCCGAGTACATTCGGTATGGAGATATGTAACATCAGATATTTGCTTCCGGCCACAGATAGTCAAACTTGTTGTAAAGCAGCATTTAATTATTGCCTAGTATTTCATGGATTGGAGGATTTATGGGTTAACAAGCAATATTACTTTCATTTCTAGAGTTATTCTACAGCACTATAAGGGTAGGTTGGAGGTTGCCTTTACTATTGGAAAAAGACTGATCTTGTCTTGGAGCCTGAAGAACCATGTACTTTCCTTATTTCTGTATGACTCTTGGCAGATGATTTCCAGTATTAGCATAGTAGCTTCCTCATTTCCAGAATTTTAGAAAACTGGTCTGCTTCATGGGAGTATGAGGCAAAACTAATTTGAACATATAAGGTACTCAGTTAACACATTTTCTGTAATTTAAAAATATCAATTGCTAGCAACTCTAAGGTGGTAGAAAATAGAATAACTATGTGTTATATTTTACCTGGAAGTATATAAAGGAATTTACATGTCTGGTTTTTAGTTCATTCTGCAAAAGTGGTGGTGGGGGGAGAGTTGTTAAAACTGAAAAAAAAATTG